ATGTACCTGGGGATCAAACCTGCAACCTATGTATGTGCCCTGACCAGGAATCAAACCTGGAACCTTTTTGGTATAGAGGATGATGCTCCAACCAACTGAGTTACCCAGCCAGGGCAAGAGATTTCAATTTTAATAAAATCAAATTTATCAATATTTTTATGGTTAGTGATTTTATGGCATTTTTCCCCCAGGAAAGTGAGTGACATAGGGAGCAGCAGGCTTGGGGAGCTGGGTAGAATACTGCCAAATCCACATTTACCGACCTACCAGATGCAGTTTTTATTTTTTATTTATTTTCCCCTCCTTTGCCCCTTTCCACCCAAACCCCTGCCCTCCCCTTCTCCTGGCCCTAACCACATTGTTGTCTGTGTGCATGGGTTATGCACATATGTTCTTTGGCTATTCTCTCCACCTTCTTTCATGTCATCCGCCCCACCCACCTCCCTCTGATATTGTCAGTCTGTAACATGTATCCATGACTCTGGTTCTATTTTGTTCATCAGTTTCTTTTGTTCACTGGATTCTACATATAAGTCAGATCAATGGTACTGTCTTTCTCTGACTGGCTTATTTCTCTTAGCATTATAATCTCCAGGTTCATCCATACTGTCTCAAAGGGTAAGAGTTCCTTCCTTTTTAAAGCAATGTGGTATTCAATTGTGTAAATTTACCACAGCTTTTATATCCACTAATCAACCAATGGACACTTGGGCGGTTTCCAGATCTTATTATTATGCTGCTATGAACATAGGGGTCCATACATTCTTTCTGATTGGTGTTTCAGGATTCTTAGGATATATTCCCAGAAGTGGGATCACTAGGCCAAAGGACAGTTTCATTTTTAATTTTTTGAGGAAACTCCGTACTGTTTTCCACTGTGGCTACACCAGGCTGCATTCCCACCAACAGTGCACGAGGGTTCCTTTTGCTCCACATCCTTGCCAGCACTTGTTTATTGTTTTATTGATGGTAACCATTCTGGCAGTTGTGAGGAAGAGATATCTCATTGTGGTTTTAATATGCATTTCTCTGACGATCAGTGATATTGAGCATTTTTATATGTCTACTAGAGGCCCGGTGCATGAAATTCATGCACTGGTGGGGGTGTCCCTCAGCCCAGCCTGCACCCTTTCCCATCTGGGACCTCTCAGGGGATGTCTGACTGCCGGTTTTGGACATCCCTCTCACAATCCAGGACTGCTGGCTCCTAACTACTCGCCTGCCTGCCTGCCTGATCACCCCCTAACTGCTTCCCTACTAGCCTGATTGACACCTAACTGCTCCCCTGCTGTCCCAATCACCCCCAACTGCCCTCCACTGCTGACCCAATTGCCCCCAACTGCCCTCCCTTGCAGGCCTGGTCGCCCCCAACTGCCTGTCAGCCATCTTGTGATGTGGGGTGGCCATATTTTGATGACATGGGGCAGCCATCTTGTGATGCTAGGGCGTGAGGGTCAATTTGCATATTACCTCTTTATTATTTAGGATTGGTCATCTGTATGTCCTCTTTGGAGAAGTGTCTATTCGGGCAATTTGTCTAATTTTAAATTGGATTGTTTGTTTCCTGATGTTAAGTTGTATAAGTTCTTTATGTATTTTGGAAATTAACCCCTTATCAGATATATCATTGGCAAATATGTTCTCCCCTACAGTGGGTTTCCTTTATATTTTGTTGGTTTCTTTTGCTGTTCAGAAGCTTTTTAGTTGATTGTAGTCCCATTTGTTTTTCCCTTTGTTTCCCCTGCCCTAGGAGATATATCGGCAAAAATATTGCTACGTGAGATGTCTGAGATTTACTGCCTATGTTTTCTTCTAGAATTTTTATATGATTTCACAACTTATATTTAGGTCTTTATCCATTTGAGTTTATTTTTGTGTATAGTGTAGGTTGGTGGAACAATTTCATTTGTTTTGCATGTATCTAACCCATTTTTCCAGCACCATTTATTGAATAGACTATCTTTATTCCATTGTATGCTCTTGCCTCCTTTGTCAAATATTGACCATAATGGTGTCGGTTGATTTCTGGGCTCTCTGTTCTGTTTAATTAATCTATATGCCTGTTCTTATGCAGTACAATGCTGTTCCAGATGCAGTTTTAAATTTTAAGCATAGGCTTGGAGGCTCTATTAGGTGTGCCAAGGGGAACATATAGATATTCTCTTATATTTCCTTATTGTTTTGCTTTCCATCTTTAGGTCTCTGATCCACTTTTGATTGATTGTGTATGGTATGAGGTAGACGTCAATGTTCATTTTTCCCCCATGCAGATATACCATCATTTCAGCATCATTTTTTATTAAAAAGACTGTTGCTCCCCCCACCCCCACCATCCCCACCCCCTGCGTGTGCACACACACGCGCGTGCGCGCGCGCGCGCGCACACACACACATGCACACACACACACACACTGAATTATAGTGGCATCTTTTTCAGAAATCAATGACAAATATGTGTGGGTTTTGTTTCTGGACTCTCTATTCTCTTGCTTTGGACTTTTCCTTTATCCTGGGCCAATACCACATTGTCTTAATTACTGAAATTTTGTATGAAGTCTTACAATTTGGTAGTCCTCCAATTTTGTTGGTTTTCTTTAAGATTGTCTTGGCTGCCATAGGTTTTTTTTTGTTTTGTTTTGTTTTTTGCCTAGGTTATAATTTTCCATAATAATGTTAGAAATAACCTGTGAATTTCTACAAAAAAATGCTGGAAATTTGATTGGGATTGCACTGGGTTATAGATCAGTTTGGAAAGGACTGACATCTTAAATATTTTGAATCTTCTAATGCATGATAATGGTGTATCTCTTTATTCTACTTATTTAAGTCTTCTTTAGTTTCTCTCAACAATATTTTGAAGTCTTCAGCATAGAAGACCTGCTCATGTTCCGTTTGATACATTCCTCGATTTTGAATTTTTTTCTCCTATTTTTCAGATATGTTTTTCAAATAATGTTTCCATTTCTTCTAAATCAGCGGTTCTCAACCTGTGGGTCGAGACCCCTTTGGCGGTTGAACGACCCTTTCACAGGGGTCGCCTAAGACCATCCTGCATATCAGATATTTACATTATGATTCATAACAGTAGCAACATTACAGTTATGATGCCTGCCATGTTCCATGTGCGCCCCCTGGTGGTTAGCGCATGTTATAACAACCGGTTGTTCGGTTGTTCCACTGTTTGGTCTATTTATACACACACACACACACACACACACACACACACACACACACACTGAGTGGCCAGATTATTATGACCACCCCATCAGTACTTCGTTGGGCCACCTTTTGCCTTCAATACTGCGGCGATTCTTCTTGGCATTGATTCCACAAGATGTTGAAAGGTTATGTGAGGCATCTGACACCATGCCTGATGAATAGCACTGTCCAGTTCTGTGAGATTTGATGGTTGTGGAACCAGCTGCCTGATGGCTCTTTTAACTTCGTCCCACAAATGCTCAATTTGATTGAGATCTGGTGATTGTGGGGGCCACCTAAGCAAGGTAAAGTCTCCCTCATGTTCTTGAAAGCACTCCTGCACAATACGAGCACTGTGGCATGGCGCATTGTCTTGTTGGAAGAAGCCATCTCCATTGGGATATGCCATCAACATGATAGGATGAAGTTGATCAGCAATGATACTTAGGTATGTTGTGTTATTCAGATGTTGTTCCACACGAATTAAAGGGCCCAAATCATGCCAGGAAAACATGGCCCAAACCATAACCCGGCCCCACCAGCTTGAAGGGTTGTACTCATGCATGTGGGGTGCATGCTTTCATGCTGTTTCCGCCAAATTCTCACTCTGCCATCTGCATGATGCAACTGGAAACATGATTCATCAGACCACATGACTTTTTTTCCAGTGCTTGACTGTCCAATCCTTGTGTTCCTGTGTGAATTAGAGACGTTTTATCTTGGTAACTGCAGACAGCAAAGGTGTTCGAACAGGCCTTCGGCTTCCATATCCCATAGGATGCAGTGTATGGCTAATTTGCCTACATACATCAGGTGGTCATAGTAATCTGGCCACTCAGTGTGTGTGTGTATGTGTGTGTGTGCGTGTGCGTGTGCGTGTGCGTGTGTGTGTGTGTGTGTATAACATTTCTTTATAATTTTTTTCTTTCACCCATGAGTTTTTTAGAAGTGGCATGCTTACTTTCAAATTTTTTTGTACTCTAGTCAGAGCATTGTGTTGTATGAATTTCAATTTTTTTAATATTTGTTGTGAATATGGTCTATTTTTATAAATGCTTCATGTGCACTTGAAAAAAATCTGCAGTCTATGGTTGTTCAATTTTTTACATCCTTAGTGATTTTAAAATATGATTGACCTATCCGTTATTGATAGAGGTATGGTAAGAACTTCAAGTCTGATTGTGAATTTAACTGTCTTTTTGCTTTTTTTTATTGTGTTAAAATATATATGATATGATTTATGCCATAGTTGTTTTTAGTTTGGTAAATTTTGATTTATATATTTTGAGATCATGTTTATTAGTACAGATAAATTTAGGATTGTTATATCATCCTGATTTATTTATTTATTTATTATTAGAAAAGTTGCTCTTCATTTTTTCTTTATTTCTCTTCACAGTTCTTACCTTCACATCTACTTTGTCTGATAGTTAATCACACCACCTTCTTTTCTGTTAACGTTTGCATAGTATATTAACTTTCAATCTATCTCTGGCCTTATAAGTTGTTTCTTGTAGAAAGCTTTATAAGTAGATCTTGCCTTTAAATAAAATGCTGATGTCAAATTCAGGCCCAGTCATAGTTGCTTTGGTTTGTGGTACCCATAAGAGGGAAATGGTAATGGCCTTGGACAGGAACTCAAGGCCATTTAGACTTGATATAGCTAATGGAAGAGGGATTTCCCTATTGGTGGAACATTTTGATACAACAAATTACTACCCTCAAATTTATTTGTGAAATGTTTTATATTCATTATAAATAATGTAAGGTTAAAGAAGAGTAGGCTTGAACTGTGGAATGGCTAGCTACCATTTAGCATCCTCAGAGAGAAAGATGTGTAGTCAGTGCTATGCAAACCTCTACATTTTTCTTAGAGAAATTTCTACTTGAACTATTTCATTTTGGAATCATAGATCAATCAGGGAATGTTTAAGTGGTAGGGAACCTCAGAGACCATCTTGGGCTCACTGACATGCTTCTGATTACTTGAATATCAAAATATAACTAGTACTTTCATTTTTGTTACTCATGCTATGCAGGTAAATGGATAGCTGAATCTTGGAATGATCTTTAAAAATAACAACTTGTTTAAAAATGGACCAAAGTATAAATAAAGTGGGCAGCTTTTATATTTTAGTTCCCAAATAAAATTTATAAGGAAAAACTGTTTTTACTTTGCAGCGTTCAGTCTTAGAGAAAAGACTTCATCATTCTATATGTGACGTGGACTTGTGGGCCCTTGACCTCTTCAAATAATTTGTCTGTAATAGGCTTCTCTTGAAAATGAATCTGCATTTTCTTGCTCTCCACACGCATGAGTTTCACTTCCAGGGGGCCCAAGTTTACATAATCCTGTGGTGAACAGATGCAGAAAAGAATAGGAGAAGTTATTCAGCAAGTTACCAGCTTCAATAGATAAGGTGTCCTTTATCTGACTGGCTTCATTGCCCTCCCAATTGCCCAAGTGCTGTATAACATGTGAAATATGAGAGCTACTAAAAATAAAAACCACTCCATGAACGTATGTGGGGCATGGTAGGCCAGATCTCCCACAGAGCAGTCAGCAAGTCTTTCAGGGGGTTGGGTGGGGGACACCAGCTAGAGTGGGGAGATGATATATCCTCTGCAAGCTCTTTAATTGGTAAAAGAAAATGTTGGCAATATATAGGCTATAACCACTGCAGAGTTTTCTATATTACTCAAGAACCAAGGGAAAGGTCTGCACACATCACTTTGCTTACTAATATTCTAACATTGAACAGATTCTTTATGAATTTTGCACTTTTCACAGGACCTTTGACTACTGTATAAATAAAACTTACCATATTCTGCCAAACTAACTATAGTTTATGATATCAACAAATGAAATTAAAAGTCTAATTTATATGAAATCACACAGCCACCCCCAAACTGGCTTGAAACAGCTCAGGCCCTCCATAATGTGCCTTCCTCTTGGGAGCCTTCCCAAGTCATAATGTTTTCTTTTGAATTCCTTCAACACGTCAACAAACTCCCCCGAACTCCCACCAGCTGTGTATCAAGTGCTGGGGACAAAGATGAGCTCACAGACGGGTCAGGGAGACAGACACAGGTGATACACGCCTCCTGCACAGTAATGAATGATTTTCTTATCCGTCTGCTATTAGCATGTATGGGATTTGAAGGTAGTGCCTGCCAAAATGGCCTCTTTGAGACTTCATTTCTTCCTGTCTACCCCCTGATTCCCAAGCATCTAACAAGTACCTGGAATATTGTGGGGGTCTCAATAAACATTTATTAGAATCCAGGAGTATCAAAGAATGAAAAGGGAATTAATGTTTTATTACTCAAAAATGCATGTAACTGTGTTTAGTTTTTAAAATATATAATTATAGAACTATAAGAAATTTAAGACAGGGGAAAAGCAAGTTGGTAGACATCTACCACCTATTTCAGAATTCGAATACACTGTGTTAATCTGCTCAGGGTGTCAAAACAAAATTCCACAGGCTAAGAGCCTTAAACAACAGAAATTCATTCTTCACAGTTCTGGAGGCTGGAATGTTCAAGATCAGGGTGCCAGCATGATGGGGTTCTGGTGAGAGCTCTCTTTCTGGCTTGCCGATGGCTCCCTTCTCGCTGCGTCCTCACAAGGCATAGCCTGTTCTTATAAGGCCACAGTCCTATCAAATTAGGGCCCCATCTTTATGAGCTCATTTAACCTTAACTATCTCCTAAAAACCCTATCTCCAAATACAGTCACATTGGGTTTCAACATATGAATGGCTGGGGCAGGAAGACATAATTCAGTTCATAACATACAACACGTCATTTTTACCACATCAAAAACTTCCATGGTAAGAAAGAAGGCCTTTCATTCAACCAAATGGTAGCCCCAATTTTGGAATTTTGTAGACAACTGTCCATTTGAGGTCATCATACCATACCAGGTGTCATGATTCCAAGATACTCATGGCGGTGCTTGAATGCTATAGGGACTAGACCTTTAGTCTTTAAACAGGCACTTGACGGTAGCAGGACTGCATTGTAGTTAGTTAAAAAGAGTTTTGTTGACTTATTCAGTTTCTTCTTCTTATATCACTCTTTTTCCTGTAAGACTTTAAGTTCTTGAAGAACTTTTTAAGTTGTTGGTGGTACCAAGAAGGAAAATAGCAAGGGGTCATTGTGGGAGTAATTGGAATGTACCAAAAAGTCTTAAAAAAAAAAAAGGCGTGAATATTCCAGGTTTCATCCTGTGGTGTGTATGACAGTTTGACCTTCCAAAGATGGCCATACTAATGTCTACCCCACCCCACATGCTTTTCTGATAATGTGATGCCAACCTTCTTTTAAGATGTACAAGCTACATTTCCTCCACTTGGAACTTTATCACTGCATCAACGGATAGATTATGAGGGAGGGGATGCTGTATGATTTCCAAGGCTAAGTCGTGCAAAATTGCAGCTTTCATCTTAGTCTCTGGGATTGCTTTGTCTTGGAAAAGCAAGACAATAAAAGTGCCTTGTAGAGAGGCCCATGTGAAGAGGAACTGAGGCCCCCAGCTTAGGTAGCATTAACCTGCCAGCCATGTGAGTGAGCCACCTGGGAAATGGGTTGTCCTGCCCCCATCAAACCTTCAGATGACTACTGCTCCAGTCAACATATGACTGCAACTGCCTGAGAGTCCAACTGAGGACTATCCAGTGGAGCCCTTCCCGATTTCCTAACTAACAGATGCCCTTAAAGAAAATAAACAGTTGTTATTATAAGCCACTAGATAACTTACACAGCATACTAGTAATGGAGGTCTATAAACAAATATAGGTAGCAAATTGGGCAAGAGTAGGGATAAAAATAGTATCCAAAGAGATGTGAACGGTGGGCAAATTTTATAATAATTGCAAATAGAAATTTTCAATATCCATATTTTAGGTTAATTTTCTCCATTAATAAAACAGCATGATCCTAGTAGTCAAAATTATTTATTTAATCTTACCTTGAAATCCTTCTCATCCTCATAGAGTAAGTATTTCATGTCAGAGGTCCCAAAGTCTATGGATGAGCTCTCACTATCTGTGCTCTGCTGCTGGTCAGATCTGATATCATCCTCTTGACTAATGGGTAAAGCTTCAAACGCAACTGATGAGCTCATCTTATTGCTACTTGTTTCTTCTATGGGTTCCGGTTTTGACTTTTCTGGGGTGAAGGAAAAGAAATTAATTATGTGTATACTAGAGGCCCGGTGCACAAATTTGTGCATGGGTGGGGTTCCTTGGCCTGGCGGCAATGGGGCCAATCGAGGTGTCTCACCCAGTCCTGATTGGGGCTGATTGGGGCTGACCGGCTGGGGGAGGGGGGGAGAGGGTAGGGAAGGGGTAGGAATTGAGGGGTAGGGAAGGGGTAGGCTGACGGGGGGGAGGGACTGTGGGAGGTTGGCCAGCCATGAGGTGGGGCTGTGGGAGGTTCCGATTGGGGAGATTGGAGCCAGCCGGCTGGGGGAAGGGGTCATGGGAGGTTGGCCAGCCACAGGAGGTTCGCTGTGGGAGTGCACTGACCATCAGGGGGCAGCTTCTGCATTACACGTCTTCCCCCTGGTGGTCAGTGCATGTCATAGCAACTGGTCAACTAGTCGTCCTGGTCGTTCGGTCTTAACGGTCACTTAGGCTTTTCTATATATATAGATGTTGGACAGATAAAATTAAAATACAATGCATACATTGTCACATTTTTTAATTTGAAAGACCTTTGATAATCTCTAGGAGGAGGTAAATCTGAGAATTAAAAATGTGGAATCTATGTATTGAAGTGAGAGTGAGCCTCATTTTCAGAAACTCTATCTGAGCTGTATTTCCTTCTATTGGCTAAGTTATAGTCATCAAGGGAAGCTTTGTATGTGTTGGTATTTTGGTTGGTTGGCTCAAGTGGAAACCACATCAAGGTAGAAACACTGTCCATTTCCAACAGAATTTATTTAATTCCCTGTGAAACATGGTGACTTTGATTTGAAAGTCAGACTAGAGAAAGGAGGTGGGTTAGGACAAGTGCTTCAAGAAGAAGAGGAATATGGAGGAGCTGGCAGTATCCATTCCCTGAATAGCTCTTGGATATGAGGTGCCTGTCTATAATAGATGCTCAATAACTGTTCATTTAAAAAAAACAACAAAAAACCAACACCACCATTACAATAAAATAATCTATAATAATAAAAGTGTAATATGCAAATTGACCGAACGGCCGAACAGTGGAACAACCATCCGGACAACACGCTATGACACCCACTGGCACCAGGCCAGCCAAGGCAGGTGTGATGCAATTGGTCAGGGGCCCGGCCATTGCCCCACAGAGGGAGGCCCAGGCTACCTGGCCAGTGGTGCTGCGGTGGGTGGGCGGGGCCTCCCTCTGTGGGACGATCAATCACTGGGCTCCCAGACTGTGAGAGGGTGCAGGCCAGACTGAGGGACCCTCCCCCCCCCCCCCCCCAGAGGATGAATTTCGGGGACCGGGCCCTTAGTACCTATATATGTTTCTTAAAACTCCCAAGGCTTTTTTACAAGTGCCAGTTCCTGTCCCCGCAGCTTGGGTAAAATATAGTTGCCTAAAAAAAACAATAAAGAAAAGGAGTCTGTCAGTCAACAAATACTGTCCTACCTGTTTACTAGTATTATCTCTCTTCTGGGTGCTAGACAGACATAGATGAAAATGAGACATAGATCCTACCCTTGAGGCATATAAGGGTAGCAGGCAGGCTTACAGTGTTTAGGGTGATGGTCTGTGTACCCTAACGGGTAATTAGCATAGTGTGGGGCAGAGAGAAGAAGCCTCGTTTAGCTCTGGGAGGTAAGGGATGGTTTCCAGGAGGATATAAAACCTGACCTGTGTCTTGAAGAACCAGGGGCTGTTTGCCAGGGAGGAGCCTGGGGTGAAGGAAGGGCATTTCATGATCAGGGACTAGCACACTTAAAGTCCCAGCAGTGAGAGTGAGCACGCCACCAGCTGGGTTGCATGTAGTGATCCAGAAATGACAGTGGCCTCAATGGGTTTTAAAACAAAGAGAAAAAGAGAAAGAGCAAGCAGTAGGAATCCAATGACAGGCAGGTCTGGCCTTCACTGAGTGGCAGGTGTCAGCTGCCGGCCCGAGGAACTGTGCCTGCGGTTGCAGCTCTCTGTGCATGCACTGAACTCTGCTCCCCCTTCAGATTCCCACTGAACTCTCTGTCAGAAAATACACGCCCTGAAAGCTGTGCATGGCATTCCCATCAGGTTTGCCTGAAGACAGCAGAAAGTAATTGGGCCCTCGAAGATATGCGAACAACCCCTCACGCTTCGCAGCTCAGCAACCAGAGTGAATCCCCTGGTTTACCCGCTGCCAGTTATTTAAAGAACATGAGTGAAGTGTTATTAAAAATGCTTAAGGCTCCAGAAAATAGCATAACTACATACACTATTTCTATCTGTGAAACCTGCTTAAGAACTAACTTAGCAAAGGTTAGCTGCGTATGGAGCTCTGGTCTGGGGATGGACATGTCTGAGGCCACAGAATTCTCTTCTCTTCTGGTTTCACTATTTTGAATAATTAACATCTTACTAAATGCCACAACCTTCATAAATCTGGTTCCTCTCTTAGTCATTAGTTTGTTGTCACTTTTGCATGGCCACAGAAAGTATCTTACATAATGTTATTATGTGAAGCTGGTGTCAGATTTGTAGGCCTTAGTCACTTAGCCTCATCCCCGTGGCACTTGAGCTCCTGGGCAGTCACCTCTGGCTGACATTCACCTCATCTAATGTCGCAAACAAATACTATAACTTTCTATGTGAGCTGTGAAGGGAAACGTAGCAACTCTATTAGCTAGAATACCCCATTCTTCTCCCAGATGAGAAAACAACTTTTTATATGTCCACTGAGGACAGTTAATGTCTGTTTCTCGCACCCTACTAGTGTCATACAGGACTGAATCCTCAACAAAAGAGGTGAAAATGGCAGTTACTATAAAATATACAATAGGTAATATATTTCTTTGACTTGAAATTAGGTACAAAAACAGCTCCTGAATATATTTAAAGTTTTCCTCTGGATAAGAAGTCTAACAGATAGTTGTGGGTTTATACATTCCTTTGTGTCTTTATAGAGATTTTCCTAAAATGTCCTAAAAAGTTGCCTCAAGTGCCTTAGCTGGTTTGGCTCAGTGGATAGAGCGTTGGCCTGTGGACTGAAGGGTTCCAGGTTTGATTCCAGTCAAGGGCACAGGCCCGGTTTGCAGGCTCAATCCCCAGTAGGGAGTGTGCAGGAGGAAGCTGATCAATGATTCTCTCTCATCATTGATGTTTCTATCTCCCTCTCCCTTCCTCTCTGACATCAATTAAAAAATATATTTTTAAAAGTTGCCTCAAGGAGTTTTCAATCTAGTGAGGAAGCGGACATTAAATAAGTAATCACCAGTGTGATAAATGCTGGCTACACAGGGAAGGTGTTGGGTGCACCTGACCCAGTTCTGGGAGATCTCTCCCCGCTGTCTCTTGTTCCTTGGGTAGATTTTGATTTAATCTCTCCCAACTCTGAAGCAGGACTCATCTCACCTACCAAAGAAAGCCAACCCACAGAGCACTAATGAACAATGTGGACTTTACTGAAGATTTTTGTGGGGAGGACAGAGGATAGTGTAACATTGCAAACAACTTAGTGAAGATCCCCACTGAATTTTTCTCATCTCCTTTCCTGTCCTTGCCGAGTTTTCTCTGGCCAAATGAAAGAATTCCCCTTTGTTATAATTAGCACTTCACATTCTTATCAGCACCGAATCAGACTGAGCTGATGGGAGCAGGAAGTGGGGTTGGCAGTCTACAGAGTAGCTCTTTTCTAAGGTTTGGCTGGTTCAAAAAAGAGGACAGTGGACAGCAGGGAGAGCAGTGGTTAGAAGCCACAACACCAGCAAGTTTAGACATGATTAGAGGTGGGGCAGAAACATTCCAGACTGAGGGGACAGTGGGGCCCCTACCTCCTAGGGGCCCTCAAGGAGTCCACCAATCAACCAATTCATTCAGCTTGCCTGCCTACATCATCTACAATGGTCTTTACCTCTCCAGGGAAGCACACACACATTGTGGGAGGGAGAAAGGTGGTCTCTTTCTCTATCCTGCCCCATGCGCCTTCCTCCCTATGAAGTCATTGCACTATCTCCCAATGTCTCCAATCTTGCATCCTAACACCTGTCACTTAACCCACCAAGCACAAACCCACAACTTATCTGCATTCACCGTTCTCGGAGCACATTAAGAGGTTTGTAGACAACAAATACTTTATTAGGACTCAAATAGTATTTTTCCATGCCACACAAGCAACAGGAACTACTTGAGTGGAAATGTTTCCCTGGCCCGATCACTATGTTGAACGTCTTTGCTTTCATTCCCAGACTCAGACATGTCTCTCCCATCTTGCACATGTAGACCCTACATTTGTGTGATTTATTTCCCCTCTCTCCCTAAATGTGCTATCATTTAGATTATTTCTTGTGTCTGACTACTTGTCCGAATTATAAATGCCTCTTTTAATTCCATCATATTCCAGGGCCCTGGTTCTCCATCAAGATTGGTCTATAAAGACTCCTTTGTCAGGTAAGAAAAAGATAAGCTAAGATGCAGAGCCATGGGCACAGGTGGTTTCTCTTATGTAGGAATTAACGTGACTTTGAATGCCAGGCTATTTTTTTTGTCTCGAAAGCAGTTGAGTCTTTCCTTAACTATCAAAGGAAACAATTCCATATTCCCCAAGGTAGCCAGAAGCCCAGGACACTTACAGGAAGACGCCACAAAACGGATCACTCTCTCCTTTGTGCTAACTCCGTACCTCATGCACCTTCTGCTGCACTGCTTGGCCTTGATTTTCCTGCCCATACTCCCTTGCCGGCCTGGAGGCTGCAGAAGGTCAGCAGTTCCGACACTCATGGGAAGTGTTGGCTGCTATAACTGCAGGGTATTGCTAGGAAAATCAAGTCAAAGTTTGCACTGTACAAATGGTCAACTCTCATGATCCTATGCCTTCACCATAGCCATTTTGTGACTTCCTTCTTTTGCAACTGTTATAGTCTGGCTGGAGCACTAAAGAATCAAATCATCATTAGAAAGAACTTGATACAGATACAGATGTTTAAAAAATACTGTCTAGATACATTTCACCTGGGTATTTTGAGATCCACAAGTCTACAGTTGAATAGTTGATCAATGAGCTCCAAATTTTCTTCTTCCAGTTCTTGAATAGCTTTTTCCAATACATCAACTTCCTTCCTATGGATTGCAATCTGTTCTCAGAAGAAGAGAGAATGGATGGTTGGTACTTATTTAGTTCTATTTAGTCTTTGATGAGAAATTCAACTCCTAAAAGTGCTTTTGCCTAAGAGGAAGAGCTATATAAGGTTAATTACAAACAACACAGAAACTAAACAATACTGGAAAAAATAGTAAATTATGACACTTTTAAAAAGAGAAGTACAGGCCTAGAGCCCTTTCTATCAGCTTCTATAGTACTCTCTGTTCCTTTAGTGATGGGGTTGTTCTGAGAAATATCAAGTAGATGAAATATTGTGCATTCATGAATTCACTCATTCAAATGTATTGTATGCCTACTATGTACCAGAAACTATAGTACACTTTGGGAAAAAGGATCTCAGCCTAGTGGGAAAGATGGTGATAAAAACAGAAAAGAGTGTGTTAAAACCATAGGAAGCTATCCAGGTGCTGAGGGAGGAGACAGAGGCTCAGCCCATGTCTGCCAGGTGTCGGGGTCGGGTGGTGATGGTAAGATGGAATTAATAGAAGAGATGACATCTAGTCTGGACCTTGAAGGCCATGTAGGGATTCTCTAGGCAGAGAAGAGGGTGTACATTCTTGGAAGAAGGAACCACGTGTGTAAAGGCACCGTTATTTTGGTGTGATAGATACAGAGTGGGAGTTGGGAGAAGTAGGAGAGGAACTGGACAATGAAGGAAGAGGCACATAATACTAAGAGTCTGGCTTTTGTGTTGCAGGTGATGGGAGCTCTTTGATAAACGTAGCAGGTTTAAATAACAGTAAGGAGTATGGCTAACTCAAATATGAACAAAATTCGCTGGTTACCTTGATCCATTCTTATGTGTATTTTGATAACTTCTGTCTAAAGAAGGCTTAATAGTGGGAAGAATATATTGAAAAATATCTCTAGATAGAATCTTCAACTTACCTCTCTCTCCCCCAAAACTGAAAAAAGTAATGTGTCTTGAGGAAATAGGAGACAAGAAAAGCAAAGGGGTTTAGATTCAGTATCTCTTGTTAGAAGTGTAACTGAGATGATTACTGAGAAAGAAATGACTAACATTTTATGTTTGTAATTGAGATTTAATTATTGCCTTTTAGAATCTGGAGGTATTCAGTGTATTGCCACATGTATACCTCTATCACATAAGTAATGTATTAAATGCTTGGATTCTTACTGTGGCTGGATACAGAAGGATACAAAAGTGAATTAGGCATGGCTCCTTCTCTCAAGAGACTACAATCCAGGAGACAAATATGCAAATAAGGATAATATAAAACAATACCAGTGTCTTAGTAGAGGCTCAACTATTGCTGGGGCTTGGAGTTAGAAAGTAGAGAATGTATTATCCACCTGCCTTCAACCATTTAGCAAAATCATTAAGTCCATAATACTAAATTACAAAGCTCGGGGTTAATGCTTAGAGAGAACCAGCTTGATTACAAACGTGAATGCCTTCAGGAAAAGTTTATAATTTTTTAAAAGTCAAAGGATGAGAAAAAATTATGGAGTTATAAACAGAAGGAATTAATAGAACATTTGGAAATGTTTGACCTAAGGGCTTGGCATGCTTGGGAGGCAGCACACTCAGTTCTTGGTCTCTTTCCAAAGCTGGGAATGAGGGCCCTTTTGGGGAGTGGAGTCCAGCCTTTCAAACTAAGGATATCCTGTGACATCACCGACCCCTTTAGAATACTTTGTAAGTTGTTATCTCCTTCCCGGCCTTTTGAAATGTTCGGGAAATGAAAACGAGTTCCTTTTACGGCCAAGTAAATACCTTTAGATTTCTGGACTAAGAAAGTGAAGGGAGGGAGAAGACCATCTTTCCTCCCCGACCCTGCTCTTCCCCAAATACCCAACAAATGTACTGAGGAAGTTGGGAAGGATAATTTAGCTACAACTCAATAGTTAATAACTTAGTCAGGGACCTAGGATCCTAAATAAAATACATGCTTTTGAAATGTTCCCCTGCAAAATCCGAGTTCGCTTTACACTTCCTAGCACTTGGCACTCTGATTGCTAACGGGATTGGATCCTTTTGTCTAGTTTTCCTGGATTTCCATTTAACTTAGTCTAAGTTATTTAGAAATTTCATTTTTCTTCATTTGCCTTATAAGCAGGCTAACTAAAACCAGGTAACGAAAGCCATGCAACAGGATGTCTCATATCCTTCCCAGAGATCTAAGTTTTTGGTTGTTGCTGAGAGAAAGTTAAATGGAGAAATATTTTTAGGAGGTCCATTTGTTAAAGATCCCTGTTACTCATTCAAAACCTTCCTCAAAGAAATTAATTCCTCTAATTAAGTAATTAGAACACATACATTGTTCTGTATCCAGGCAGTTTTCAATTCTTGTAATAGTACTTATAACCAGAAATGGTTTTAATTAATTTTGTGAGTAAATTTAATAATGCTAAAATGAATATTTATTGAAATAAAGATAAATTAAATCTATTAAATTTCCTTAAAATGATTTGTCCTTTATTACTAAGCTCTTTTTGCTCATGATTCAATTAAACTTGGCATTTTTCCTGTCTTTTATTTCCACTGAATTATGAGAAGTAAAAAATATAACAAAATGAAATGTTGTTTATGGCTTTGGTAGAAAGGATCAAGGCACCAAAACAGCCCAAGTATAAATTTTTTATAATCATTTTCTCTAAACCTAGTATCTATGATATCTCATAAAATATAAGATTTGCACTATTAAATTATTATCATTGGGATCATTCTGTTTATTTAATAAATAAATCCCTCCCTAATATTTTTTAACTATTGAGCTTACCTTAAGTTTTTTACATTAATACTTTAAAAAAGATGAAAATTGTTTAATCATTTCAGAGCATCAAAATACAACATAAGATTGGTATTTGGGTGTCAGAAAGCAATAACAGGTTCATCTGGGATCCTTGCAAAATGCATTTCAAAAACATCCTGGTCTTGCCATTGTCACAACGTCATGATCTGGAGGATTGTATTCGCAACAATCCGTGGACATTACTCTAACATCTCTTGGTAGTTCCAAGATCCTTTGGGTTTTTTACATCATAATAGTTACTGAGTTCCAACGCATTAACCTCAATAGGATTATGAAAGGGCCATGCATGTGAAAAGTGTTTCTTTGCAAGCATTTCTTTAAGAATCTCACTACAACGCTTTAATCACCCTGTTCCTTGAACAGTCTTCACAACTTCATATTGTTGCTGAGAATCTGGCAAAACATTCTTCAGCACAGTTTCTCTTATAGGTGATTTTGCAGATTTTTACCCCCATAAGTGCTGGGGAACATTCACCTCTTTAACTACTGAAGTTGTGGAGTTTTATCTCTTTCCTCTTCACAATCCTTGTAACCTGAGCCACTGTTTGTGAGGCAGAGTTGGTGGGTCACCTTGTGCTCTATTTGAAGGAGAAGTAGATGTTTCAGGAACTACAAAGTGACTCACTTGCTGCTTAACTACTTTTTCTGATGCTTTAGGGAACTTTTTCTTTAACAGGAGAATCTGCTAACATTCTGTTGAGTGGTTTTCTTTATTGTTTCCTTACCACCCACCTCTTGTTCTTCATGTGGTATCTGAAATAATTTCTGCCTAAACCCCTTCCCTAGTGCTTGTGCTATAATAGCAATGTCATCTCCAAACTTGTGGTATAAACAACAATTTAAAAACATTGCGTTGAAGTCTTCTATACATTCTGAAGCCTGCACATAGTAACGCTCCAAGTGTTTCTTAAGTGTGCTTAAACCCATTGGGTTCTTTATGATGGCATAATAATCAGGCAAATTTAGTTCCATGGCATCCACAGGCTGCTAAAAAGGTGAAGAAAAACTATGCTTCCATAAAGCCTCTGAGACAACTTTCCGTAGATGCTGCAGTTGACTTGTCAATTCCCGTTTCTTGTGGTATTTATAGACTCTGGTGGTGCAGGGTCAACAATAGCTGTTTCTGCTTGGCAGAGACAGTCCTAACTGCTTCAGATCCTGTTATTCTAATGTGTCTACAAGTGCATGCCTGTCCTCTATACAAGTACTAACTGTTGTTTCGTTATGCACGCCGCAGTTGTGGATAATTGCAGTTGCTGTCATCTTTCACAGTCTTTCTTCCCGCCTTTCTAAGTCACACATGGAGGTCCCCGCAGGAAAAGCCTGTGAGCTCCTCTTGGGAAAGGGGGCTGGTCTGATCGTCCCCTTCAGCTGCACAGGATGACGTGGTGCAGGGCCGAGGGTCTTCCATCCCCGCCCACTCTTGCCCTAATGGTGGCTCAACTTAATACCTAGTTTTTATTTATTTATTTATTTTTTTTTTTAATTGGCAGACATAATTTATTTCCTCCTAAGATGCTAGAAGAAAAACATTTTTTCAACTCTACTAATCTAAAAGCATTTCATAAGTTAATTCAATTAACCTCATTTGTCATATCTATATATTTTAATACAAGGGAATAATGATTGAATATCCAGATTAGAATATTGGTGTGGATAGTGTTATGCCCAGATTTCAAGATTCCCAAGAAACCACATCAGGGAGCCAGCCAATCCGATGCAAAAGCATAAGAATCTGTATTCGAGCTAGCTCGGCTCCCCCACCTTGCCGACGCAGCGACAGGAAGCAGAGAGAGAGATAACTCTGTGTGGAGACTGGTTATATAGGGGGAGTTGGAGGAAGGGGAGGAGAAAGGACTGTGCTCTGCTGATTGGCCAGGCACAAGTCGGTGTCTTGTTCCTGGGTGTGGCTAGCAGAGGCTTAGACTTCCGGGAAGAAGCTCCTTGCCAAACACGTGGCCAAGGTAAGATGGAGCACTTACCCTGGGGCAAGATGGAGGGCGTAGCCCTTACCCTGGGGCAAGGTGGAGGGCCTAGCCCTCGCCCTTTCATTCCCCCCTTTGTCTTGGAACTTCCGGCTCAATCATGAGACGGACTGCATTTCTATTCCACCGTTGCTAGAGGCCCGTACTGGGCATATCTTAACAAATGGTCTGGTGGAAGGGAAAGAAACCATTTTAGCTTTAACAACTTC